AACATACAAAATGGATTGAGAACCGATCTATTTAATATACAATTAACTTGAGAAGTTAGTGTAAGGAGAATTAAAGCGGGTTTGAACTTTAAAAATTAATCCACAGTTGTGCTTGCTGAGATAAAACTGAGAGGACTATCCATTGCTTGGAAGATAGCTCTTTAATACTCTTGTGACCATATCATAGCTTTTGATGGTCAAATATCTGGGCATCTTATGGGATGTGACTGCTTTCCTTGAACTTTCCAATCTTTGTCAGGGAGAAATGAAACCAAAATAGAACAGCCATTGTCTCTTACTCCGTAACAAGTTCCAGCTGATTAGTCTTCTTAATTTTTTTTTCTTTAAATGTGCAGAATTTAATGCTTAAGTTTAATGCTCACTGCTTCATGCTCTGTGTCTTTGGCCTATTGGAAGCAATTGGCAAATCATCATCTCTCTTTTCTATTTCCGGTGCCTAGCTTAGTTTTTGGAAGGGCTGAGCACCAGGCTGATGGCATGTCACTGGAGCAGCTCAGTAGGGTTTGTAATCTGAATGCTAATAATCTTTTTGTGTACAGTGACTCAAGAAGTGTGCTGCACATGCAAGAACAATGCCCTTGAGGCAATTCAGAGTGGGATTCTGGCCTCTGTTTGCCTAAAGGACAGTGAAGACTAAAGTTTTTTACTTTTCTGTGCCTTTTGATTTCTTGGTCTGTAAGGTGGACGTTATAAATGCCTGGGTTTGTTAGTTGCTTTGTTCACAACCAGCAACACTAAGGAATGGATTGAGTCGATAAAAGGTTTTACTAGTTTTCAAGATGCCAGGTATCATCTGAAATGTTTTTCTGATGAGACTTTTTGAGCTTTTTTTTTTTAATTTTCCTGAGGAAGTAGTTGGTATAATTTGGAGACATCTTTCATTTGGGTAGAGGGGAACACAGACTTATAAACTGTTTCTTATACATGGAAAAGACTTTTCTGGGTATATCATTAAGAGTTTTGAGATGCTTACTCTGGTCAGCAACTGCCAGCCCTCTTGCTGTTACTGTACAATATTACAACATGTGAGAACCTTCATGTCTAAGACAAGGGCTTGCGTATGTGGTTGCCAGCCCTAACACTGAGCTATTACCTCTGCTATGAGGACAGGGTAAGGGAAAG